TCCTTTATTTAAAAACTCTTGCAAAAAAAGACATTGGAGTGGACTGGTTTCAACCCTGAGCATTAACACTGCATATCAAGTACTGTAGTAAAGAAGCTGGTTAAGTTTGTAGCACTAGCACAAGTCACTGATATTAATCCTCTAGGTGATCAGGTTTTTACAAAAAAAATACATAGTTTTCAATAAATAATGCTTAATTTTACAACTTTGATACAGCAATGTCATACACTGTTTTGACACATACTAAACTCTGCATGCTATATAGTCTACTAGAAGACAAAACTTTGCCATGCATTTTCTTTTTCTAGTGCTAGAAAACACTTTGTCCTCCAGTGCATTGCCTCAAGCAGCCTTACCATCTTCCTTCCCTCACAGCAATAGGCCGTGCACTGGCATGCAAAAACCTCAAGAAAAGGTTTCCCCCCCACCATCACTCAGACTTCTAAACAAAAGTACTTTTCAGCTTTTCCCCCCAAGACCTGGAGTGGCTATGAAAACTAATTTCATGTGGCCTTGAAAAGTCTTTGAAATTACATATTTTAAAAGTGTCATGCTTGAAAAACTGCTCTAAAACATTCAATTTTCCCCACCTGTGGCCATCATGCAACATCATTGAAATGTTGTAACCATCAAAAGTCCCACACTGGAAAACAGGCCTCCATTTTAAAACAGCCCACCAAAAAAACAAAAGGAAAGAAGAAATAAAGTATCACAGCATTTATGTAAAGACTCCAAAACGCCAACATATGTACAAGAGCAAAACCAGATACAAATTGTAAATGAACTAACAATGGCATATAACTCTTCTCCCTGGCTTCGCCAGGAGTTGAGGCAAGTTGGTTTTGGAGATAAGCAGGACGATGGAAACAAAAACAAATTGTGACAATGGGAGTTTCTGAATTAATCATTATTATTTGATCAAATTTCTTCAAGCAGTAAATGGCTGTCTTGATTTTCTTGGAAGTGGGAATTACCAAAATTTTAAGCCCTAATTAATAACCTATAATAATATATAATTATAAATCAAACCTGCTTCTGAGTATTCACAAGCCTTAGAAGTTTGGCGCCCTTGCACTTTGTCATCTGCAAGATTGCACTTCACTGAAAATCCAGATGTTGTAGCTAACGACAAATGAAGAAATTTGATTAATTAATAAGGATTGAAACCTCCATTCTCACACTTCCAGGTTGTTGTTCATCATTGAAAACCATTCACCCCTTCTTATCCATATTGCTTTAGGGGTTTCCTTGTATCTACAGAAGTCATTCCTTTGAAATTGCTGTCAATCACAATTTTCTAAGAGTTTTTAAAATATTCCTATCTTTGCACTGGCATAAGTATTGGGTTTTCTAAGAGGATCTCAACCCAAAGAAGGTATTACTTTTATACATGAAATATTATGAACTTTTGTTTCCCTTTTTGTAAGTCATTCTACACTTTCTGCACATTTGTGCTTTATATTGAATATAAAAATAGGTCTTTAAAACTCTATTTACTTTAAACTCACTAAAAAACTACTTGCTTGTGAAATTCTCTTACAAATTCACTGCATCCATGTAGAGAAGATAAAACTAATTAGGCAGTTAATTGGTATAGGTAGTGTGCAAAAAATTAAGAAAAACAAAAACAATCACAGCCTTCAATGTGGGTGAGGGGAAAGGAAATAAATCAAAGGGATACAACTGTATAGTAGGGGAAATGTAAGGCAACTCATTGTATTAACTTTTTGTTGTTTGTTTGTTTTTTTTCCTGGCCATGCCTACAAATGAAGGTTAGGAGGAACTAAGACACCTATCCTGCCAGCAGCCCTTGAGGCAAAAACTCCCATTAAACTCAATGAGAATTTTATTTTTTTTTAACCAGTGCAGGTTTTAGACCTGTCTAGGCAACAATTATGAAGATGCAAAAAGGAATTTCATGAGCTGTGTCGAATATCAAACACAAAAATAATATGGCCCTGACTTTGACCCCATACCAGCAGTTTTACCTTAGTGTAACAACAGAGTTGCACTTTCCTCAAACAGGCATGAGTGAAGGATCAGACTGAACGCATGCAAATCACATTCAATACGCTTGAAAAAGTTTCATCTGGATGTCAGCGAATGCCTAAAGAGCATGTAGCACTTAAAGGATGCTTGGAATGAGTCTTTCTACCACATTTGTGAAAGACTGCACTCAAAGGAAGAAAGTATTTCTTAGTTGTGGTTCTTTTAAAAGGAAGAGAGGAGAAACATAATAAAAACAGCTAAAGGGGAAAAACATTAAGTTTACAAAAGTTTCACTTTAAAATAAAAAAAAACAGTATGTTTGATTAGGTTTTACATTGAGTTGACATCCTCAGTGATACAAGGTAAATTGTTTTTCCACACAAAAAAGAAGCTCATTTTTCTCCCTTCTATTACTGAGTCCTATTACACTTAGAGTAATATTGTACAGAGACAAATGCAAGAATGCGGAAAAAAAGGCCACAGGAGATACTAAGCCTGTAATAGGACTGCTCTAGCATGTCAACAAGGATTCCTATGTACACTACAAAATAAAAGGAAATGGAAGGTATGAATATTGTTAGATATGACAGAAGCAAAAAATGTGATTAGCTTAGCAGATGCTATTTTTCATGATTAGAATATTGTTTTCTACTCTCACTGAGATCAGTGGGAGCTTAGGCATTCAACAGCATCAGACTTCAGCCCTAATAGTAGTAGTGGCTTAAACAGAACACTACCTAATTTTTCCTTGAGCAATATGCAACAATAAACTCTGAAATGAAAGGAACTCAACTGTCTGGACAAAAAAAACCTGTTTACCTGCACCATATACCTTCACTCAAAATATTCCTCTGCTCTTGTATTGTATAATTCCCATCTAGAAGAAAAAGTTATACTTCTGAGTGGCTGTTATATTTTTTGACTAAAGTAGACCCATTGCTTTTTTCAAATATGCCTGACTGCTCTATGCTTGGATCCTTTAAATCAGTTTTCCTTGACTAATATTTTAAATGGTAATTTTAAAAGCTTCCAAAAATATATGTAAGTCAAAACTTTTGCAGGCTGAGACACAGACCTTATTATAATGCAAACTAAATGCAGCCTATATCTGACCATAATCATTCATAACTCATTGAACATCTGTAAAGCACAAATGTTGAATGACACTGCCTATTATCACTTTAATAAACAAGGATGCATATCAGAAGAAAGGGAATGGTAGACCAAGTCCCCATACTCTCATGATAGCTCAAGGAATTACTAAGAGAATTTTGGCTCAGTTTTAAGACTTAGAACCTGATCAACTTATTCCATCACCCTAGCCCAAGAACAGGTTTTTGATAGCAGGATAGTGAATGGCTAGGCTAGAGCACTTCGGTGTATCTATTTTCTTTCACTCTTTTGCCTTAGAAGAGATAAATGTCATTTGTTTTCAATCTGATTTCTAAGTTATTACATGGAGAACACACTAATCATTTGAGACCAAAAACTGAAAATTCAAGAAACTCTGTTTTATTGAGGACTATCCATTGCCAAGGATATCTTGTATACTTTAAGTTTGTTTTAAAACACAGTTTCTCATAAAGAATTATCACAATGCAAGACAAATTTGAGTTCCCAGATATGCTATATCTCTTTTCTGATAGCAAAGATTTAGGCCAAACAACTTTTATTTAGAATCATGAGTGTTTTATTATTATTATTATTATTATTATTAGAAAGAGATCAGATTATATTAATCATTTTACTACCAGTTTAACTAACCTAAAGTAAGATATCTCACCACTTAAATGCCTAAGAGTTGTCTTTGATTAAACATAACATGCATGCAGGTTTTAATGTTATGTTTTATTATGCCTTACAAATGTGTATGCAGGATTTTCATTTCAGCAAGTCTGAAAGCCTGTAGCAGTGGTTGCCACCAAAATACCAGCACAGTGAATTGTCCCTGTAAACAGCTGGATCATTAATTAGTGGAGGGAAAAAAAATACCAATGCCTATCAGATAAAAAGTAAACTTCTTGAGAAACAAACTTCCACCTTGTGAGTCAGTTTATTGCCATCAGCAGTTATTTCAGAGCACACAACTGAAATCTGATGGCTCCTAAGGTAAAAAAAAAAATTAAAAAATAAAAAATGCACACTGACAAAGTCTGCTCACCTACAGCAGAAGCTCGTACCCCCCTGCTTCCCCAAGCGGTTCTGCGGAGAGAGGCCGGGGGCTGGGAAGATGCAGCATCGCTGCTCCAAGCATCTCCGCGTCAAGCCTCGCCCAGGCTATTTATCAAAAGAAAAGGGGGGGGGTGAAAGAGCAACGGGGAGAGGACCGGTGGCAAGCGGCGGAAGGGGGAAGCCGCGTCCCCCGAGGCGGCGGTGGAAGCGGGCC